CTCCGTCCGGGCACTTCCCGCTTGAGGATGCGCCGTCCTTGCGCGAGGGATCAGTTTCGACAGGGGCGAACCCATGGGCACGCCAATTTCTATCTGACGCACATGAGGGCGAGAGAGGACTTGATGACGAGGGTGGATACCTTGGCACATGTACACGTGGGGGGTGGACGCAGATATTCACACATCAGGACGTTAAGCATGAGCTCTTGATGCAGGATTGCACGGCGTTGCGAAAAGGCGTGCACATGTGGGCTGCACTGCCGCCAGGATGGAGGAGGAACACACTTGCCTACGCAGCCAACAGCCACAGCAACCACAACGGAAGGTGGAGGAGGAAGGAGATGCGGGCGTCGGACGGACGGAGACGGGGGAGGAGTGCACCCACTGCTTTCGCACGTGCAAGGGCGTTGCACAGCACCAGATGGCAAAGCATGAGCAATGAGATATCTGGGCTAGGTTAGTGAGAACGAATGCGCGCCCCTTCTGTCTCACGGCATTCAGTTGCGTCAAGACAGCACAGCGCCACTTACTCTTGGGAGTTGCTCGAGGGGGCAGATGCATCGAGAGGTCGCGTTTCTATTGGGGGAGGGGCGCCTACGCCCCGGGCGAGTCGAGTGCCATCTCTGCGATCACAGGGCTCAGACATGTGCTGGGGCCTGAAGCGCCAGGGCGACGCCAGCGCAGTCGCGGACGCGCCTCCCAACGAGGCGCAGATTTCGGAGCTGCTGGCCTCGGGAGAGGACGTCAGCGAAGTTTTGAAGCTGCTCGTGGCCCTCACAACGCTGTCGCTCGCGAGCGGCGCGGAGATCAGAGAGCACGCCGTGGAACACCGCGCTCGCGGGCGTCAACGGCAGCGTCGCCAAGCACGTGCTCGAGCTTGGTCGCGTCTACCACGTGGCCGCAAACGCGGCCGCGAACGACGCTGCCGCCCTCGTTGTTCGGGGCCGCCCTACGCGCGCGTCTTCGCAGGTCTCATGCCGGGCGTCGCGGAGTACAACCTGGAGGATTCTACGAAGG